TATATATATATGAAAAAGTGTTACTGCACAGAAGGCAAAAGGAAAGCTGCCTTTTTTTTTTCAAGAGCCACTTTAAGAATATCTCATTTGTCTTGGAAACTTTCTTGAAAGTCCTCAAGTTCAGGAGACAGACCCTCCCCCAACCCCTTGCTTTTAACTATCAGATTCCCCAGGGATTTGGTTATCTTCAGCCCCTAGAGTAAGACACCTAAGAGAAAGGGACGTTGTTACAGGGTAACAGAAGCTAAGATTTACTAGAGGGCAGAACTAGCAGGCAGAGGTAGCCCTATACTTTCAAATCTGGTACTTGGAGCCGGGCATGGTGGCGCATGCCTGTAATCCCAGCACTCGGGAGGCTGAGGCAGGAGGATCGCTGTGAGTTCGAGACCAGCCTGGGCTACATAGTGAGTTCCAGGTCAGTCTCAACTACATAGTGAGACCCTCTCTCAACCCCCCCGCAAAATCTGGTACTCAAGAAGGTCTAGAATTCTGAATGCTGGGAATGTGAGTCCTGCAAAATGACTTCTGTTCAGGGACCAGCTCGCCCTGACTAGACCATTACCCTGCAGGAGACTATCAGGCCAAAACCTCCCCCAGAACCCTGGATAATAGATTATAGTCTCATATTTACAGGGAGCTGTCTCCTGGGTTTTTATCCCAGATCCTTTGGGACCATCAGTTCAACACTGCAACAGTGCAAAGCCACAGGGAAGAAAACACTTCAGCCTTCCTGCTGAGAAAGTTACCCGATCTTTGCCTTTATTAGGAAGAAGTTTCAACCTGATGGGTAAATAAACTGCTCTTTCTTTTCCACTGTTCTCAGGTCCACAACTTCATGCAGATGTTGGAGACAAAATTAAAATTGTCTTTAAAAACATGGCAACAAGGCCCTACTCCATACATGCCCATGGGGTGAAAACGGAGGATTCTACAGTTACTCCAACACTACCAGGTACTCATGGTGGGGAAGCATCTTACACTTTGTGGTCATTCCACAAATGGCTAGTCTCACAGAAGTATTCATTCCAAACAAGTGTAACTAGAGGAAGTGAAGAGAGAGGTGGTAGGATAGGGAATACAGGGACTAGTCTGTGTATTCCTGTGTATAGCACATCCTTATTGCATGCAACAGCCAGTGCTATGGTGCACAGCTGTAGTTCTGGAACTCTGGGAGTCTGGAGCAAGCTTGAATACAGCTGGGAAACAGTGAATTAATAAAATCCTGTCTCTAAATTTTAAAAAAAGGAGTGAGGGAGTAGCTCAATGCAAAGGCCCTGGGTTCAAAAATGAGAGAAAGAATGAAGGAGGAAAGAGATGGGACGGAGGGAGGGACAGAGGGAAAGACAGAGACAGTGTATCGGAGAGCTCTGAGGGGGGAAAAAAAGGAAGGTACTGGACACCCACAAATACCGCGGGGTGAATCAGGGAGAGGCTCCTCCATGTTCAAGCAGAACGCATCTCAGAAAGCATCTACTGCATGCACAGGGCTGTTAGCCTCTGTCCCAGACCCGTCCAGAGAGCGAGGTCTGCCACTTAATAGTTAAAAGTCCCTATATGTTGTCCAGTGTCTGGCATGTCCTAGGTGCTCAGGAAACTTTTACTTAACATAGAGTGGAAACTGTGTGGATTGTATGTGTGTTTCTTCATTTTATTTTATTTATTTTTTTTTTGGTACCGGGGATCGAATTCAGGACCTTGCACTTGCAAGGCAGGAGGCAGAACCAGAGCTAAATCCCCAGCCTATATGTGTTTTTCTTTAATCAGAATAGTATTCTTCTTAGTTGTAAAGTTGGCTTCTAGAAAAAGACCATTTTTCAATGACTTAGCAGTTCTCAAATATGCCAACTGAGAAAAAAATAACTTTATTATAAATTTAGGGGAACAGAAATAAAAATCCCTGCTCTGTGGCTCCCATGCTCTTCTAAGGGAAGATGCTGAGTAGTAAAACAATGCTATGGAAAAGATTTACACGGGAGAAAAGCAAGGGTAGTATAGGCAGGGCAGTTAGGGGGGCTTCTTGGAGGAAGGTGGTGACGCTTTTGAAGACACCCAACTGATGAGAGGAAATGAAGTTCTGGTATCTATGGGAGGAAATTCTAAGCCCTCGAGACAAGGCTTGATGTGTCTGAGAAACACCAAGAGGGCCAGAGCGAACAAGGAAGTGTTTTAACAGATGGGAAGCAAGGAAAGCAGGGGCTGGGTGCAGCAGCAAGGACCCGATACTTGAGATTTTATTTTAATCCCCTTTGTGAGGGTTTGAGCTGAAGGGTGATGACCTGAGGAACACTTTTTAAGGGACAGTTCTGGATAAGGTGTAGATAAGTAACTGTTGGGCGGGGGGAGTAGTGTCACTGAACTACGGCAATAATCTGAGTAAAACAAATTACCTAAATTGTCAAGCTTTGGAACAGGATAAAACGAGCTCACATGGCAAGAAGTCGTATTTCAGGTCTGTTTTAAAGGTGACAAAAAGGATCTGCTGACACACTGGCCACTAGGGAGTGTTGGGGACAGAGAAACCGAGGATGAGTCCAGGGTTCAGGGCACTGACCACTGCTGGAAGAGCAGGGTGCGGACGGGGAGGAAAAGGAAATGAAGGTTCACAGCTTACAATATTAAGTAAAGACAGAGACGGAGAGATAACATGTCCAGGTAGTAAATCAACCAAAATGTCACATATTTTGATTGAAGCGTAAAGACTTGGGAACAGCTAAGAACGAGGGCTTGAGGAAAAAGGTGTCTATACCCCTTGAGGACATCCTTCATGTTTTGCTTGATTCCCCAGTCAAGATTTGTCAGACTGTTGAGTCAAAGCCTGACAGTGTTATCTCCATATGTAATATGAAAAGCCCTACATAAAGAGTGGCCAGTGAGTGTAGGAAGAATTGGTTGAGCGACATGGCAGAAAGTCAAGGCTGCACAAGACGCTTGAAGGTGACTGGAACGGAGCTGAGACTGCAGCAGAGCCAGGAGCACATGGGAATAAGGCGGGGTCTCGGCAAGGTAGAGGTTGGGCCAACCAGCCATCTTCAAAGTGTCAAGGACCAGGATGAAATTGTGTGCAGAAGGTCACAGAGCAGCATATTGTGTGACAGACTGGGATAGAGAGCAGGTAGACAAAATTGTGTTTGCAAAGTTTCTTCACATTATTTTGGATGGCTGGCCACCTCATGGCTTTGTGACATGGCAGGTGCGGCATGACCAGTTAATTCATAGTTGACACACACCAAAAAATAAGTAAATAAAAAAATAAAAATGTCTTGATTTATTTTAAAACTAAATTCCTGAAGTTTGAATACTATTATTAAAATAAAAAAAGCACTCTGACATTTCCAGTTCCTGGGTCTTTGGTTGTCAAGATCAAATATAAACCAAATATAACCAGATATATTAACACTCAATTTAGGTGAAACTCGAACTTACATATGGCAAATCCCAGAAAGGTCTGGCGCCGGACCAGAGGATATGGCTTGTATCCCATGGGCTTACTATTCAACTGTGGACCGAGTTAAGGTAAACTTTAAATCATTTGTGTTTTGTGACAATTACCAAAATAGACACACAATTGAAGGAAGACGAGGTTAGAGTTTTCCTGTGCTGCAACTCTGTTAAAACTCCCGGAAAGTAAGCTCCTTTGCAAATTCTTTCATTTTTTTCAGCTTGCCTATTTTTGAAGAAAGTTATAACTAACTTATGGGTACTGATTGTATAGACTTTGAGCAATTAAGTATCAATATTTGAGCAATTAAGTATCAATATTTGATTTCCCTTTTGATATGAAAATATGTTGAACTGAAAGAACTGAGGCACGTAAATTGAGAGTTCATTACATAGCAAGCAAGCTGAGGCCAGCAATCAGAGCTGAAGGTATTGTTTGATGAAATGGTTCAAAGCCAAAAATAACACACAATAACTACAAATCAGAAATTATACTCAGACTGTCCTGTAGAATTAAATCTCTGGTCTAAATCTCCCTTCTGAGTGCTCATCCTGTTCATATACATGGTGGGCATCTGCCCCAGGAGTTGTCACAGAGACTTAACAACTGTAAAATAGATGGTGGGATCTTCTTCTTCCTCTTTCTGTGCTTCCTGTTGTAATAAACAGCATCACAAGAAACAAAACTCATCTGTTCAAGCAGGAAGTCCGAATTACCCAGCACCTCCTTCCCCTTGACTTTCTCAAGCAATTACCTTTCCTATAGCTCAGTCTGTTCCTTCTCTCCATCCACACAGTTGATTCTTGAAATTTGCCTCAACTACTGCCCTTTCAGCTTCAAGTCTCTTCCCTCTCCAAGTCTTTACTTCACCAGAATGACTGTACTAAAATGCAAATTTTGTCATTTTCTGTCCAATTTTTCAATGACTACCCATGACATATAAGGTGAAATCTGAAATTCCTGATGAGATACATCTCAAAAACACTCAAAGACCTAATCTGTCATCAATGACATGCAGCCAAGCCACACTCCTCATAGATGTTGTCAGCTGTGGTCTTCCTCCTCTGTGTCCGTCAGCATTTTAACTCCACTGTAGGCAAGTTTCCTGTTTTGTTTGCTTTTTGAGACAGGGTCTCACCATGCAGTTCAGGCTGGCCAAGAACTCACGGTGCCTCTGCTTCTATTTCTTCTGTCCTCTATAAAACTAAGCTCCTAGAGGGCAGTAGCCTTGTTGCATGCTCGATGGAACTCTAGCAACTGGCAAAGGGCTCAGCACAGCTTCACAAGTACATGAGTTTATGGGATAAACAAAGCAGTGCTCTTTATCTGGGGTTCTTTTAAATCGTTGCTCATTAGCTAAGCTCATTTTTGGCACCTGCACATATTTTCATTTACACATCACACACCTGCCCTATTCACCACCGGTTCCAATTTAACTTCTTCAAGTGAGAAGTTGCTAAATTGGAAATTGGCATCATCAGCCAAGTCTACTACTGAACCAGCCCCTCCCAAATTCCCGAGATCAGGGGTGATATGATCCCAGTTCTCTGAAATCTTTCTTTACATTGTAAGGATGACTGATGTTTTCACTTGTTTTCAGGACCTCTACAGTGGATTGATTGGCTCACTGATCGTCTGTCGAAAACCTTACATCAAGGTATTCAATCCGCAAAGGAAAGTGGAACTTTCCCTTCTGTTTCTAGTATTCGATGAGAATGAATCTTGGTACTTAGAAGACAACATTGAAACATACTCTGAGCATCCTGAGAAAGTAAACAAAGAAAATGAAGAATTCATAGAGAGCAATAAAATGCATGGTATGACCTATGATTCTAAAACCATTTTTCTTCTTTCAAGTAAAATTTTATTGGAGACTATTCGTTCACGTTAAACTACTTTTTCCTCACTTTGCGAGGTAGAGCCCTGTTCAAAAGGGAACTAAGTTTAAAATCACTTACCAATTTCTCTCCCAATTCCAAATCTCCTTCCTTTTTAAGATTCAAGGCTTCTGATGCAAAGTGACTAGAATGACCTGCAATCTTTATTTCCTCCATTTTTAGTGAAACAAGGTGTATTATTTCAAAAAGACTCCTTATGTGAACTTCATTGTATTTGTGTGAAAGTTATTGGTTTAAAATATCCTGAAAGGTGATATGAGGTCATGTTGTTTTTTCCAGCTATCAATGGAAGAATGTTTGGAAACTTACAAGGCCTCACAATGCATGTGGGGGATGAGGTCACCTGGTATCTCTTAGGCATGGGCAATGAAGTAGATCTGCATTCTGTGCATTTTCATGGCCACAGCTTCCAATATAAGGTAAGAGCTTTCATGGCAGTCATGCTTGCTGTATTTAGATGTATTATAACACGCAGAAAACATTTCCTCAGATATGTTTATAAAAAATTAAAAGTTGCAAAGATTAGATCAATTTGTTTCTTGTTATACCTTGGGTTCTTTGGATTCACAGTCCTTACTAGGTTTTCATGGAGTTCTGTTCCCACATTCTAAGTAAGACATCAGAGTGGAACTGCTAATGGGGAGAGGAGTGTCCATGTAATGATGAACCAGAGAGCAGAGATCACAACAAGACTTCAGCAGAACCTTTACCTGTCTGGGCTGGGTTGGGTGTCCTAAGTGCCCCAAGGAAAGCAGAATCATCAGTTAGGTGTCAAAAAACTGAAGTCCCTAGATCTCAATCCTACTTCTATTCCTGATTTTGTGCTGATTTGCACAGGAACCAACGGCTTTTTTGGAAATGATTTTTTACCGTTAAGTTAATGTAGAAAATGAAGCTACCAAATAAGCATACTTCAGAAAGTTCATTTTATAATGTGCATTTTGTTTTATATAAGTATATTATGTTCTTAGTGGAGTTTCAATTTGATTCCTGGAAATACATCCTACTATTGTCTCCAGATGAGAATCTGCCTGAACTGCCCCTCTTACTGGTTTCTCTCCATGGCCTCTTTTGCTGTCCCTGTATTTGCAGGCAAGATAGTCTAGGATCTGCACTGAGGTCAGGGCTGAAGTGGGGTCACAGCTTACTTCGTCTATGTGTGCAGCTCAAGTGCTCTGACAAAGATGCAAACCAGAGTCAAAGTACCGAAGGCCACAAGTGGTCCAGACTCCTGAATTCACTCTCATCTCATCTTCTGTCCTTTATAACCACTGGATGACGGTCCGTAGTAATGAAACCTTACAGCCCCGGACCACATACCTGTTTGTATTAAACAGAAATGTGCAGATTCATTTTTTTAAAACCCAGATTTATCAATTTTTCTAATATCCCTGAGCTAGACAAAGAAAGAGTTATATGGGTGAACTTTTATAAATATTATATAATACTTTTCATTTTTCTAATTAAGCACAGGGGCATTTATAGCTCTGATGTCTTTGATGTTTTTCCCGGAACATACCAAACCCTTGAAATGTTTCCCAAGACACCTGGAATCTGGTTACTCCACTGCCATGTGACTGACCACATTCATGCTGGGATGGAGACCACCTACACTGTTCTGCCAAATGAAGGTGAATATACACTCAGCGATTCTACGAGTCATGTATTATGAACATAACTCAGATGCTATTTTGCCTAAGTACTCCCCCCACATACGAAGCATTTGTGAATCTGCTGTCATGCTTTCTTCCCTCTACCTCCATTAGGGAGTTTTACTGCTAACTAGAGAAGGATACTGCTCACTTCCTGAGAACTGGTACTTAGAAAAGAGCCAGCAGTCTTTAAGCTAATACAGGCACCTCTTGATGTGGCTTACTTGTAACTAAAGTTGATATGAAAGAGTAGTCACATTAGTTACCAAGAAAAAACACACAATTTCCAAGGCACGTTTAGAATTTAACTTCTTTCTTAACAGAAAATGTCAGTATTTTTCTAGGTAGCAGCTCATCTGTTAAGAGAAGCCAAGGTTAATCCCAAATAACTGTATGTTAACAGGCAGAGCAGCATCTTTCTATGGCTTCAGGGAAGGGAAGACATTATTACTGTTTGTGACAGATACGGGAAAAATGAATTTGAATTCCCTGGTCCCCAACTCGTGCGACAACGCCCCACATGACTACATGCACGTGCACACACACATGCACTAAAAATATAGGAAAATGCAAAGCCTTTTTGTGGATCATGTATAAAGAATGAAATTCTTGCCTCGCAGATGTAGGTTTTGGTTTTTCCTGTGTTTCTAAGTTCAGAAAATGTTGCAACTAGAAATGGCCAATCCAACAGAAAAGTTATGTAAAGAAAACAACTGTTTCTTCATCAAAATAAGGATAAAAGAAAATACATAAGTGGGAGAAAATATATAAATGAATATATTTCAAGATTTTAAAAAATCACTAAAAGATTCATTCTTAGTGCAAATGAAGTTTAATTTCTGTTCCTAGACCTTACAACAAATCTTCTATAATGAAAACTACCTCCACCAAAGCCCTTTATATTCCAAAGAGCGGTTATTAATAATCAAGACTTGAAAAGGCAAATAAGCCACTAAGTTTAACACGTTGCCACCAGCCTGAACCACCAGTGGCGTATGCATCAGTCTCCCACTGGGTGGCTTGTAAGCCTCCTGGTGCCACCTGTCTCACACCACCTGACCGGAGAGTCACATATGGACCACTCGGGCTGCAAAGCTGCCTGCTGGCAGCAAGACTTACGAGTCACGGCCCCACTGCGAACATGTTAATGCCAACAACTTGACTAATGTGAAGAGTCACAGGGCTGAGAATGAAAACTATAAATAGTCTTTAAAGGACACTGGCTTGCAGGGAAGCCACACAAAAGGATGCTTTCTCAGAGAACCCGGAGGCATTTGGGGAATTCACACATGCCAACACCTGGCACGGAGACGATGCCACAGGTGAATCTATTGTTTTAAAGCTGTCCAGAAAAACTACAGCACAAAAAGCAAATGTGAAGGGAAACATACATTAGGAAAAATTACCTATACTCTTAGCACTTTGGGAAACTGAGGCAGAAGGACTGTAAATAAAGCCCAGTCAGGGCAGCTTAACAAGACCCTGTCTCAAAAGTTTAAAATAGTGTGGAGGATGTAGCTCAGTGAGAAGGCCCTTGGTTCAACTGTCAACACAAACAAACAAACAAACAAACAAACAAATAAATAAATAACAGAGAAAGAAAGTTTAAGAGAAATAGACTTTTACAAAAGGAAAGTTATTGTTTGGATTTGTAAGTCACAGTAATGGAGAAAAGATAGCTGGAGCTATATGCAGAGAAATGGGGAGCCAACTGAATCAGTCTGAATTATCTTTAGTAAAAGGTGGATAACGCTGAGAAAACCTACATTAATTCTGAATCTCAGAAAAATGTCTGCCTACCATGACAGACAAGAGAGCACATGAGGGGAAAATCTCCTAATATTAGGTGTCAGGCTACAACTGCCTCCACAAACAAAATAAAAACAAACAAACAAAACAGAAAAGAAAGGTAGATAGCTTCTCCTATTAAATTTCATGTTTCATTTCCCTCACCAAAAGAAGCATTTGAAACTGACTTTGGCAAATATAAAAGTACATTTCTAAACTGTGACTTTTCTATGACACTTAGATAACCTTTTAGATATCACTTACAGAAAGAAACACCTGCTTGGTTTTAAATTTATTTTTTACTTTTTATTGTTTTTGTACCAGGGATCAACTCAGAACTTTACACTTGCAAGGCAAGCAAGGTTCCACTGAGCTAAATCCCAGGCCTGGTTTTAAATTTCTTACATGTGGAGACTACACATTTATACTTCTAGTTAAGTACGCAAATCTGACACAATACTCTTTTTGGTGAATACCTAATAGCATTAATTCAATGAAGGTGAATTTTTTAAACTTTCTTTGCGCCTAATTTCATACTTACAGAAAAGCTGCAGGAGCGAAACAAAGATTTTCTGAAGGCCCCTCATTCAGATTGCCCACACATCAACTTTCACACAGCCACGGCTGCTTTCTCCTTCTCTCCTCTACCTCCCTTTCCCGCTCTCCCCGATACATACACAGATGTGTCTGTGTGTGCAACTATATATACCCAGGTTTCCTAAAAACAAGAATAAGATTCTAGCACATAACCACAATATAATTATTATCAAAATCAAGAAACTGAAAATGATTAAAAACTAAAAAAAAACCAAAAAAACAAAAATCCAAAAAAACCCCACTAAATATTTTTCAGATTTCACTAATCATCCTAAAAGAAATAAAGGAAATTGTAGATCTCGCCTTATTGTTGGCACAGCCCTTAATCTTCCTCACTCTGGAATGGTTCCTTCAGTCTACGTGGGTTTGTGTTGCTGCACTGGGGATTGAGCTCTATCTCCAGCTCTTTTATTTTGTGACAGGGTCTTGCTAAGTTGCCCTGGCAGGGTTTGAACTTCGCATCCTCCTGCCTCAGGCTCCCAGAGGGCTGGGATGACAGGGGCTCTCTGGCAGTTCCTCGATCTCTCGTCTTTCACGGACATGATGAATGCAGGGCAGTCACTTTCTGGAAGGCCCTTCAGTTTGAGTTCTTCTAAAGTTTCCTCAGATTATCCTCAGAATTCATATTCTGGGCAAGACTATCACAGAAGTGATGCATTTTTCTCATTACTCCATGTCAGGAGGCACAAGACAGTGATTTTTTTCCAGTACTCATCAAGTTTGAGCTTTGGTGACAGTGGTATATAACAGGTTTATCCACTACAAATCTACTATTTTCTCCTTTATAATTAATAGGAATCTTGTGGGAAGGAAATAATAAATAATAAAGAAACACCAGAATGAGATTTTAAACATATGAAAAGTAGAAAAATATAAATGAATTAGGAATGATTAAACACCAATGATAATAATGAACTTGTTCCTATAAACTGACAGATATTAGAAGATACCATTTTAATATTATATTTCATAAATGTACTAGTTAACAGCACTGAAAAATAAAACTACTTTATGAAATATCATATTACAGTAACATTTCTCTTCCTAAACATGCTTTCATTTGTCCCCAGGTAAATTCCTATTATCGTCAGTATTATTATTCTTAAAAACTAATACTTGTACAACTGTATAGGGTATATTATAGTAAGATAATGTGACGCATTTGTACCATGTGCAATGAGGAAAGCAGGATAACAAGTGCTTCCATCTCTTCAAACATTGTTTTTATGTGTTGGGAATTTTTGTCTCTTTCTGTTAGTATGAATTTTGTGAGGGCGGATGTGATAACCACTACACTACGGAAACCACTGCCTAACTATTAATTGTGTCATGGCTCATTTTAAACTATATTTGGCCTATTAACTTATAGAAAACTCAAATTCCTCCCTTTTAACTGTGCTTTGATGGACCTTATCTAACTTATTTCTGCCTTTGGTTCCCGCTGCCCTTCCAAACCTCCAGTGAATACTGTTGAACTTTGTTCTTCTGTGAGATCAACTCTTTAGTATTATCATTGGTGTCTAATACTTAAGTTATATTACATGCATTTAACCAAAATAATGAAGTAATTATGCTAACACTTTGATAAACTGGCTTTAATCTTGACATGCCACATTATAACATGATTATCAGAAAGCCATTGAGCACCTTCTGAGAAATGAATGATTTAAGAATTTCCTCAGGAGGAAACAGCCCATTTGCCCATCAGTTGGAGACTGGATAAAGAACATGTGGTTTTGCTATAAAATGGAATACTACTCAGCCACGAAGAATGAGAAATTAGATTCATTCATAGGAAAATGGATGCATATTGAGGATATACTCCTAAGTGAAATAAATAACTCACACGTGTAAATACCGAATAGTTTCTCTGGTGTGAATAAACTACAATAGTACATAAGATCCTAATGATACTAACTGACAATGTGAAATAGGAAGAAAGGGAATAAAGGTGTAGGGAAAGTGGGAAGGGTAAGAGAAAGCTAATAAGGGAAAAGAAAAAAATATGAGAAAATGAAAAAAGGGAAATGAAGTGTTTGTAAAGAGGGAGGGGAGGAGAGGGTGAAGGGAGGGCAGGGACAAGGGGGAAAAATGAGAACCGAGACCTGTCATGTAAAGGTACAAGATCCCAATAATGAATGTAACTGTAGAGTATACCTAAAATGTATCAATAAACTCAATGACGGGGGAAAACAAAAAAAAAAGAATTTCCTCAGGGGAAAAAAAAGAATGATTAAACAAAATAACACTTAAATCAGAATACATTTTATGCACAATTTACTAATCTTTTAAACCATATAAAATACACTACTTTAAATAATGATCTTAAAATTTCTTTTTCTATAGAAACCAAGTCTGGATGAAAGAAATTGGTGATAAGTGGGAAAAAAAGATAAAACAATGGTTCATAACCATTTTGAATGGAACATTTACTATATGGAATGGCTATAAACATTAAAAACAAAAGACTTTAAAGAGCTCTGTGTATTTGTGGGCATATGCACTTTTTTGCAGATGGAAAGGTAACAGACTATACATGAAAAACAACTGCATAATAAGTAACAAAACTGATTAATAGAGGCCACTCATGCTACCATTATTAGGACACTAAGAAACTGCATTAAAAAAAACCCTATGACCAGATATTGTCCTGATGGTCTTCAAAGGGTCATTATTAAGGTTCATTACAATGTCTCCAATCATCACCTCTCATCAATCCTCCTAACATACTATTCACATACTAATGCACCAGTGGGCAGGGTGGTGAAATAAAAACAGTAACACAAAAATATGCCAATCTGAGTTTTGGTGAACCCTTGAAACCATGGTCAAAAAGACCTCGTCTAGAACTAGATGAAACACGAAGATGAGAAACAATGCTTTCATATTACATTTGGTAAAAAAAATTAAGATAATAAAATAAGAAATTGCCACCAGAAGAAAGACTTCAAAATACTGTTGGGTCAGACACCAAGCAATTAGAAGTTTTGGTCAACCTGAACTGGATTCAGTAGACATATTACTGACCTGAACCTGGACTCAAAAAAGATTGTTTAACAAGAAGCTGAAAGAGAAGACAGTTTAATTATGATGATATAGTTCTTTATTTTCATATATACTCCAGCTGACATAAAAGCAAAAAATGGAAACAAGGCTTTGGCTGAAAAAAACATGTACTCAACAAATCATGCTAATAGCCAAGACAGAAAGTCAACTTTGTAAACATCTACTTCACTGGACTCAGAGAGAAACAGAACATGAGTTTTTTGGGTTTTGGTTTTGTTTTTTTTGGTACCAGGGATCGAACTCGTGACCCTGCCCTTTTTGAGGCAGGCAGCTGGCATCACTGAGCTAAATCCCTGGCCCCACAGGATGAGTTTTTTTTTAAAAGTAACAAGAAAATGTTTCAATTTTTTACTATAGCAAAACATTTCCATCTTTCTCAAACAGAATCGTTTAAAAAGAAAAGTAACCTAGTAGAGAAATCTGAAAACAATCAAGAAGATAAATGGATAGTCACTCATAGAGCAACATTTTAAACACACGGGCAGAAATTCCCTCAAAGTGTTCCCAGGATGAAAATTATTGCTATGTCTCCAACAACAGAATCAATGTTGTTCCTTGGAATAAAAGTTGAATCCACCTTCAAAATCATATGATTTCTTTCAGGAATTTTTCCATTTGAAGCTTTTTTACATTCTGTACAATTAAGTAGACTCATGCTATAATTAAGAAATCAACAGTTCCCACTACATGGTAAGATAAACATCTTGAAATCACCTGTAAAAAATCATTGGCTTGTATTTTTATCTGGCACCAAGTTTTTAAAAATTCAGTTTCATATACTGTGGTGTTTTTCAAATTATACCTTCATGTCAATGATTTCTTTTGACTACAATAAAGAAGATAAGGCAAGAAAAATGCTGCAGTGCCATCTTCTGGGAGAACATTCAAGAAATCCCTGAATTCTAGGTCCACAGCAACAACTGATAATGTTTCTGTTAACAGAAAGAAAACACGAATTAGAATTGAAAATCAGTCTGTCATCAATTTTCATTTTACTCACCCAATTAAAAACTAATTCAGACAATAAAGTGTTAGAACTAAGAAGAAAATAGCCTCTTCAACCCACAGATGATTTTATGATTTCATACTGTCTTAATGTATCCTTTCTAAAATCCTATAAAATTTATTTTATTATACTGGAGTTACTATTTCATTGCTAGATTACTACATTATTTTTCAAAAGACTTCTATTCTCTGAAGAAAAACAGAATCATTTGAATACTGTTTTAATGTTAGTACTATACTGTAGCTAACATAAAAAGATTATTTGCTAGCACAGGAAAAACCATTAGCTGTTAGATAACATTTTCAAAAACTAGCACCTTTTTATTATGAAATTTTCATATTATTAAGCACAAATCTATTTTCACGACCTTTTCTTCTAAATTGCAAACATGCTCTAATAAACAAACATTTTCAATGTTTCTAACATTCTTGTAAAGATAATTATGTGGTTTTGTGATACTATTACTCCTTAACAGATATGTGCTCTCCCAAGAGAAGAAGGGTGACACCTAAGAACCACACTCCCCATAAACATGCATTTAGTCTCACAACTCTATCCTCGCTTCAGGGCCTTACCCCATGAGATCCTTGGATGCCCTGCACTTACTCTATCTGCAGAGTTAGTACAATACAAATTTCACCCTAAGTCATTTCCAAGATCCAGAAATCCAAATTACTCTTTACACCAAGGAATGACGGGCCTTGTTGCTGAAAAGTTAGTGAATGCAGCAGCAGTGATTATTGGAAAGATCCCTAGCTCTGGCGTAAGACAGACTTGGGAAGGGATCCAGACACTACAACCTACTAGGTGAGTGACTTTAAGATAATCATTTTCAGTCCCAAGTCCTATTGTGTCATGTATAATGTGTTAGTTCATCTGCTAGCTTCCAGATTCCTGTGAAAATTAAAATACAAAGTACATCTGACATGTAAGAGGACTTTTAAAAAATTAGCTTACAAAACGTGTGTAAAAAACATGAATTACTGATGATTTCTTCTGAAGTGAGTTCACTTACCTAAATGTAGACCCTTAGATAGTATTTTAAATACACAAGTTTTACTTTGGGGGTAGTGTTCAGCGCTTAGAGAGCCAAAAGATATCTCACCACTGCTTAGTTCTCTTTTCCCAACAAGGAAGGCTACTGCAGATTATACCTCCTAGAAAAAGGTCAAAACCTTTTATCTGTAGAGTACTTCAAAAGTTGATATAGTACTTTTGTGCGTAACTTCTAATTTAATTTCTCCAAAAATCATTTAAGATTCTGATTAATCTAATCTAAGCTCCATTCTAAAGAGATTATAGTAATCTCTTATAGGTAATGTGCCTGATTTACAGTTGGGAAAATTAAGGCTAAGAAAAGATTAAAGTAATTTTTAGCCTAATCACTTAGCAACTATCCAAATCTAAAAGCTAACCAGGAATGACCTACAATATAAATATGCAAGTTTAAAATTGCCTAGCATATCTAAAATTATTTATCAATTGGTAAAAATAGCTATGTCCAGCTGATGGGATTTAAATGATTTTCTAAATCTTATTTTTGGAATTTACCATACTACAATTAAAAAAAAAACAGTTCATTATTACAAAAGCAGTAACAAACACTTCCTTTAAATAAGTAAGCCATCCACTAACCCTTTTCACATTAGTGCAGTGGTTCTCAGCTAAAACAGTTTTGTCCACTAGGGAACATTTGCCAGTGTCTGAAAACATTTCTGTCTGTCATAACTTGGCAGTGCTACTGGATCAAACAGGTAGAAATCAAAGATGCCATTTAACATCGTAAAACAGGAAACTTCCCCATACCTGAACAATTTTCCAACTGCCAAACTGCAAAGGTTGGAAAATGTCGCATTAGAGGCATAAGAAATCCAAGTTCCTAAACATATTCTATGTTCCTAACCACCATTTACCACCCTACCTTCTTTTTTTGCCCAGTATTTTACTTGAGAGTGAGTCCTGAACATCTCATTAGATCAAGCATATTAAAAAACTGGCTTGTTACAGGTTTTTTGGTAAGAGGCAGACCTAGAGTTCAGTTCCAATTTTCCAGACTCATCCTGGGCTCTTCTCAATGTATGACAGCTACTAACAGGAAGATGTCTGAGAAATGGAACTCAAATTCTTCATTGCCATTGGCTCTGCCTAATATTTAAAAACCTATTCTCTCAGCTGGAAAATACAATTCCACCCAACACTGCCAATTTCTAATATTTTATGTGTGCTGCAATGAATGTAACCATGCTCTCTGTAGTCAGGCCAACAATTAACTAGCAATATTAACATATAATAATAATAATAATACAGAAAATGAAAATGATATATCTATCAAGATTAGTCAATGACTATGACTTATGAAAATTCAAATAACTACCTATGCTGGGCTGGGGACTCAGTGGCACTGTGCCTGCCTGAAAAGTACAAGGTCCTGAGTTCGATCCCCAGTACCAAAAACAAATACAAATAAAAATAAATTAAAAAGTGTCTGTCTCAAATAACTACCTATACTGTAAAAAAAAAACAACCTTACAATTTAGAGACTTTCAACTTTTTAAATTCTTAAAGAACTTATCATTCTTTAATATCTACAATTATGCTTAATACCCACAATTTTTTGTTGTTGTTGTTCTGTACGGGGGATTGAACTCAGGACCTCGCACTTGCAAGGCAGGCTTGGTGGCACTGAGCTAAATCCCTGGCCATAATCTTAATAAATTCCCACTTGAAGTAATCAAACTTGGGACCTTGTACTTGCAAGGCAGACAGTGGAATCACTGGGTTAAATCCCCAGCCCAAGATACAATTATCTTAATGGTTATACACATTTAAAATATTAAAACTGTGAGTTTCTACTCTTGTGATAACTTAAGTGTTTTTAAAAATGACCTTCAAAAGAGTGTCAGCTCTGTGACCAGAAAAGATAAAGGAATTCTCACATTTGGGGAGGGGGAAATGCTGGAAATAAGCTCTCCAGATGATTCTCTAAACCTTCTTTGTCCTACTTGAGAATCACATTAAAAAATTAGAGAAAGCAAGGCTTTAGCAAGTTTAAAATTTAAATTTATAACCAAGCAAAAAAATAATTTTACCTTTTAATGACGACAGGTAAAACTTATACTTCTCTCCACCACACTTTATTCTCTGACAAAGTTCAGGCAGAAGTTTTTTCCACCATAGAGTCTGTCTTAGAAAAAAATAAACAAATTTTAGTTTGATGCATTTTACACTCAGCTCTCCAATGAGAAGACCATGCAGGAAAGCAAAGAACAAAAATGCATCATTTGGTTAAAGCACTCAACTTCATTAAACAGAAGCAATATTAGCATCCAGTCTTCTGCTTAAACCGAAGCAAAAGTCAAGTTTGTAACTTGGAATACACATATGTACGTGGCTATTTTTAAAAAGAAATATGCACGTCCTGCTATCATATCTTAGCTGGCAAGCAGGAAAGAAGAAAAAATGCTTCAGTTTAAAACGTGCTAATTTCTAAACTAAACACATGATATAGAAAATACTGTATGTTACATTCCCCAAGTCTTTAAGTTACTACCTTTGTGACAGCGAAGGTGGACTAGCAACTTGATTGGTCTGAGGCCCTCCCAGAGGATCAGTAAAGTGCACTTCTGAGTATGTCCAGGAGGGTCATAGTGGTGTGACCCCGAGATCCAGATGTAGTCCCTCACCCTTTACTTTCTGACACTGTTCTCTTGCTCTGCTCCCCAGCCACAAGAAACTAAGCAGCTTTGCTCTCCCATTCCTCTCTTCTACCACGATGTTACTGCCATGGGGCCAGCCAACTAGGGACTAAATCCCTGGAAATCACAAGCCAAATTAAACCTCTCCTTTCTTAAATTGCGGTTGCTGGGCCTTGTGTCCCAGCTATGGGAAAGCCAACTCTGTGAAAAACTGACACTAGCGAAGTGGGCTTGTTACTCTAACCATAGATGACCATGTTGTTCAGAAGCCTTTAGAACTGGTTTACAGAGCAGTCTGAAGTGGGCTGAAGAAATCCGAAAATGCCATAAGCACAGCCTGATGGGCAATTCTAGTCAGAGCTTAGAAGAACAGTCTGGAAAGGCCAGGAGTTTTCAGTATCAACCAAGGATTTTATGATCAATTGAACTAGCAGCCATGTATGCTACACTCTGGCAGAAAAACTTGTCTATAGTTCACCCATGTCTTTTGAGTGTGGGAGACTGAAGGTAAAGGTGGTGGATTAATTGCTTGAAGAGGAAATTTCAGGACCCCACTTGCAGTCAGCTGTGACATGGGTACTGGTGGCTGCTTTTAGTCAGACATATAGAGAGAATAAGAGGTAAAAAGCAGATCAGAAAAAATTGAAAATCTTAGATTCTGGTCCAAAAGGAAGCATGTATAAGAAAAGTTGGGGCTAAAGATGGTGTAGTTGAAACTAAGTGGGGACAACCCACTTTCGGGGCACACACTTTCTGGGCCCCCTTCTGTCTCTCTTAGACAGAAGCTATCTTTCTCTCAATAAATTCTTCCTACTTTTAAAAAATAATGAAATAAAATGAAACTAAGCACTTTGGGGACAGATGCCTTGAGGACATCTCGGAAACTTTAGGCTCAGGATACAAAAGTGTCAATTTTTCATTTGAGAAGAGTCTCTATGACCTCTGCTCAAAAGAAGCTTCCCAAGGGAAATGGTTCCCCAGAATTCATTGCACTGTGCTCAGATATCCTGGCTCTGAGAGGCTGTTCCTGCCGTGGTCTAAGGAATCTGGTTACTGCTCCTGTTCATAGCAGACCTTGGCATAATCATCACAAGATGCTGGTTTCACTGGTATACAGAATGCAGAGTTGTGGAGTCAGGGAGATGCCCACCCAGATTACAGAGAAAGGGCTGGGAGGCCAAGCCAGGAGTCTGACTGGACAATGCATGAAGCTCTGAAAGTAAAACTGAAGGCACAGTGGAAACTCCAGGAAATCAGAGATGCAGTAATGGGAAAGCTAACATAATCCCCAAACAAAAATTTTTAAAGGTGGTAACATGTCATCACCATGCATTTTAACAGCATCAACAGTACTCAAAACATACAGCATTAAGCTTATATATTCACTGGATCCACACAGTTTTGTAAAGTTGCACTGGCATAAATCGTCCCCATTTTAAACATGAAGTATCAAGAGTGTCAAATCTGACAGTCACTGAACAAGCTTAAAAACATACTTGAAAAAGCATACCCGGTTCTCTTCTTTCAGCTCATGATTAGCGTATGGAATGACTGCCTCTGGACATCTCTCCATCAGCGTGTCTATGCACTGTTCATACTCTTTCAGACGGGTGCGACACAGAATATGGACACTGAGGCCAGCAACAGTGTCTTCTGAGAGTGGCTCCAAGAAGGGAATAATGGAAGCTACGTCAAATGAAGGACCACATATAAGAGACTGCGAACAGAAAAGTGATAGGTCAGGGAATGAGGCGTCTGAAAATTAAAACACGCACATAGCATATATTAAAAAAGGATACTAACCCCCACTTGCAAAAACAAAAACAACGAACACTGCAATTTTAGAACACGTTCATATGGTCTGTTTGTTTTTAGCAAATCTAAGAGGACTGAAGAATTAATTAATCTTTAATCCACACCTAATTTAAAGACATAAACATCTGTTTAATTGAAACAATCATTTAAAAATATTTCATTTGCTTTGGATGGACTGCAAATTAAAACTAATGGGAATTCTTTAAAATCCTATCCTAAGAAATAATAAATATGTGGTAGTCAAAGATTTATCTCCAATGTTCATCATAAAAATATTGAAAAATCAAAAATAGTTTAAATGTTCAAGTATTTAAAAGTTAAATGAGTTAAATTATAGTACATTCATATGGTGGGATGTAACAGTCATCAAAATTATTATTTCAACAGCTAGAAGAAAAAGTGTAATAAAATAATGAGCAAAACATTGAAATACAAAATTATATTCAGCATATGATCACTTTAATAAAATCCATATAGATTCACATAAAGAAATATGTCTGGAAGAGGACTACATTTGAAACAGATTAGCTCACTGGACAGAAGGACAAAGCTCGTTTTTTTGTTTTCTTTTCATACTTTTGCATTTTCCAAATTTATATACATATGAAGCATGTACTACATAAACAACCAAAAAAATTTAACATTTAAAAAAACTAACGTTGTTTTTACCAATACTCTTTACCTCATTTACTGAATGACAAGAAGCAGCTATTATTTCACTATTTAGAACTTCACTAGTATTTTACTTTTAAGCAACTTTAATATTATTTTACTTTAATTTGTATATAGTAGTTTATACAAAAATAATCATTTTCCCTTGTAAGACAGAGAGTCATGTCTTGGTTTCTTCTCCCTGTATCTTTTTTGCTACAGCATGTTCTCAGACTTACAGGAGGACAAGGAACATGAACTATCTGTTCCCAGTCAGCGTGATTATTTTATTCCAAATGTCTATCAAGGAATAGCCAATAGAATAAGGTGGGTATCTGTTCTTTGAGCAAGTTTAACAAATTACTCATCCGCATATTTCCTGACAATAAGATAGCAAAAATGAAATACAGTGATACTCATTCACAGGATCTCCCAACAAGAAAGAAAACAGATTGTTTCTATAGCTAGCCTTGATATACTGGAAAAATAGGTGAGGCAGGAAGAAAGAACACACTTTAAAAAAGGAAACTAGTCAATACTTGGTATAAAAATGGATTACTTAAGAGCATTTAGTTATTTTTATACATAAATTAAAAGTTCAATAATGAATACTATAGCTGAGAAACACTAAATAGCACATATTTCACTAGCTCAAGAGTGGTCCAAGGGTTACTGTTATTATTTGATTTTTTTTTGGTTTTTTTGTTTTGGTTTTTTTGGTACCGGGGACTGAACTCGGGTCCTTGCACTTGCAAGGCAGGCCACCGAACCACTGAGCTAAATCTCTGGCCCCGTTATTATTTGAAATACTATTAAGGTAGTCTGTTTCTTAGAGTATTCCATTTTCTTTCAGTATTGGATATGGACTTCTCTCTAAACCCAACACATGCAATATTTATTCCCTTCTCCAACCAAGACCCCTTACCCGCAGTCCTAAGTCTGCAGGGCTGGAAGGCACAGATCCATCTTCCCTGACTGGACAACACATCTGTATTTTAAGGAAAGATGGCTGGCAAGGACATGGGGGTAGAGAGGATGAGAGCCACAATAATTTTGGCAAAGAGCAGGATATTTACTGTATCCTTCCAAATAGCAGCTTTTGGATATATAAATGACTTATAGATCTTACTTGTAGCACAAATAGTTTTAACATGATTGAGAAAAATACACAAATTCATATGAAATCTGTGGGGAGGGGAGGAGAGGACAGTCACACAATTTTGGAAAAGCTCTCTAGGTGATTCAGAATTTTCCCATTTCTCTAGGTAAAAATCTCGTCTTTGCTACTTATTTTCTTCTTAATGATTAAGACTAACAAATAATACAGAAAAAGTTATAATTAGAAAAATAATTTTTAAAAGTTTACTTTGACATTTCGGTACTGGGGTCCAAGATCCCTGTGATCCTCCTGCCTCACTCTCCCAGAGTGCTGAGATTACAGATGTGTGCCATCATACCCAGCAACATTTCTAGGCTTTGGTAGCAAAGATTCTCAGGAAGAATGTACCCTTTTAAAATATTTTGAAATGGATTTTAAAAGATCACTAAATTATACTTTTTCAAGCAATGATTATAAATATGCTTTAAAACTTCACAGAGGAAATTTAAAATGGCACTTATTACAAATTTAAGTATATCATTACTATGCAATACTCTGGGAGAAGAGGCAGATCCCAAGGCTGTCCATGAAATTTCCAGTCAATACTTAAGCGTTATTTGTATAATGAACAGATCTAAGGCTAAGCCTTTAGAAGCCTCTGTATCATAAGGATACTAGATAACAAGAATCTTCATTGGCGATTCGTCAAAGACAAATGTAAATAACGCCACCTCTAAGGAAAACACAGTCCCTGTCTGGAAGCTGAGTTTAAGCAACAAGGCCTCTTAAACTTTATACCTCAACACTCACCCCCAATTTGGCATTTGGTTCCAGAAGCAATAACGTTGCTAAAGTTTAAGTCAGGGATTACAAACTCAGAAGCCTAAATGGAGAATTAAAATGCATAAAGGCAGTTGAGTATAAGAAAAATAGACAGGAGCCACTCAGCCTCTGGGCTGGATGACAGCAAACAGAGCGCTTCGCAGACAAGATTGGCATGAGCCCTGCCCATGAGGGGCCACTGGTTGGCACCAGCACTCAGGTCTCAGAAGCAATAAAGGTCTCAGGTTACCAGCTCTGCTGCAAATTTTGAGGGCCTTGAAAACTACAATTCTTGATATGAAATTCTAATTTTTCCATGTCGTCAGCTACATTGGGCAGACCAAACAAAACAGATGTGGAAATGATATTCAGTCACAGGGCCACTGAACTACATTAAATAAAATCACAATTAAGCCAAAAATAATCCATCAAGTCAAATGTAGGCATTCTCATTTTCAGCGGAAACACTGTTATGGTCAGAACAGGATGATTTAAATCCTATAATTGTGCTTCACTATTTTTAAAAAAACCTTTTTTAGAAAAAGCCAGATAAGCTGGCTACTTCAACCCGTCTTCTTATAGAACATATGTGGCTGGCCTGGTTTAAAGTTCTACATTATGTTAACACACACATACACACACATCAGTAAAAACACCACTATATACTTGCCACACTTCAATTTCACAAAGTATTTTGAAACACATCCTGAAAATGATGACAAGTCACGTCACCTGCTTGCCCATTACCCTCAATGAGACCTCTCACTGAGGTAACCTCTCAGCTCACACACACCCCACCAGCAGCTCAAGGCAGAGGCTGCCATTTCCACCAAAGCTCTTGAGTATGCCTAACAACAGACTTTTCCTCCAAAAATGATACATTCTAGATTAACAGAGCACTTGCTTTTTTGCTGATCTTAAATTTTAAAATGGCATTTTATTTACCTGTAATTTTGAAAGGTCTTCTGTATAACTTTTATTGGCTAAGGAATCGGATGACATTAAAACATGTACCCAGGGATAGATTAAGCCATAGTGACTACAGGCATTTATCTAAAACATAAAAGGAAACTATCATAAACAAAATATAGTAACAGTAACAAAACTTCTCACTCATTCACAAAATGTAAGCAATCATTAATCCTCTGCCACATCACAGAATGAGGTATACACTGTCCTAGTGATAGGAAGTCTTTCAGATGTATTATTACCCTTGAGGTTCACCTTGTTTCTGCCCCTCAAAATCTGCACTAAGTATCTGCTTATATTTTAAAATATAAACATTCCAATGAAGTACTTTCTAACAAAAAGAGCTACATTGCTTATAGGCTAATTACACTCAAAAAGAGTTAAAAGTAATACTGGAAATAGCTTTTAATTATACTACTTCATTTGGGAGGCAAAATGCCTTCCATCAGTCGATCAGTTCAAGACAGTTCCCATGGAGCAACCCTTATTTAAGAAGCTGGCAAGCTTTTCAGTTAACTCATATTAGGTGTGGTAGCATCCATGCGCGGCAAAGGGCTGAACGAGCAAAAGGGAGCAAGAAGAGTAGAAACGGTGGCTATGTAATGCTACAGAACTGCTGTTTGAGGAGCAGCTGACAGGAAATGGATGCCCTCTGAGGCAGCCTCCCTGCCAACTGGCTTCCTGAAGTTCTTCTCCTTTCTAAAAGGGTGGAAGCAGTCTCTTCTCTCATGCTCTACTTATCGGTTCTCTGCTGAGGACGTACTGACTTGGTGGTGTCCTTTCCACCTGTAGTAGTCCTTGACTACTGAAGTATTATTATTTAAGTAATATGGGAGAAATACGAGGCATTCTTCAGAACTTAAAATTACTTAAATATAGGCAATTTTGGTAATAGACGAGTATTAGGTGTATTTTTAACTCCAGTCTAAGTTAAGATATTGGGTAACAGAAAACTAGGTTCAATTCCAACTCATTAACAGTAAGACAGATAATTATAATTTACAATGTATGAGTTTAATTTAAAATATCATTCTATTATCTTACCAGATCCTCTGATGTTCTCAAGGGTATAGTATCAGGAAGCTGTCTCTTAGATACTCTCCAAATGTACTGTGATATGAGCTTGCAACAGAGCTCCTGAAGAACCGTATCTGGGAGACAGGCCACCAGCTGCGCTTCCCAAAAGTCTACCAAGAGCTGAGGAATCGTATCTTCATCTTTACCACAGAGCACCTTGAAAACAGAAAGACAGCCCTCATGTCCCAAATAAATAAAGCAATAGTCAAATTAGAGCTAGACTGAATACCACAACATCATGTGGGTCATGAAAGTAACGCTTTAGTGCCATGGCAAAAACAAACTTAAACATTTTTAACAAGAAATAGTTGTTGGTTTGCACAGGTGCACAAATGAAGTTTCTCCTGCTCCTGAAGAACCGTATCTGGGAGACAGGCCACCAGCTGCGCTTCCCAAAAGTCTACCAAGAGCTGAGGAATCGTATCTTCATCTTTACCACAGAGCACCTTGAAAACAGAAAGACAGCCCTCGTGTCCCAAATAAATAAAGCAATGGTCAAATTAGAGCTAGACTGAATACCACAGCATCACGTGGGTCATGAAAGTAACGCTTTAGTGCCATGGCAAAAACAAACTTAAAACATTTTTAACAAGAAATAGTTGTTGGTTTGCACAGGTGCACAAATGAAGTTTCTCTAGAAATATTCTGTATTTGGGCTTTTATGTTACAAAGTCAGTTTTTCAATAAACAAATGAAAATGTCACTTATTCTTCTCCCTGCGTTTCCACTGATTTGCATGATTCTGCATAGCTCAAGCTATGCAGAAAAATTAATTTTTAATGTGCCAAACCTTAAAGAAAGAATCTGCCTCTTCAACTCCAATTTTGTTGTTCTTCTGTAAACCCAGAACTGCAGCCACAAGCAATCCACGCTGAGTCTCCTTCAATTGAACTGCAAGCTCTGTTGGAACAATCTGTCCCTTCCTCTGTTGAATCAGTAGCCGAGGTTCCATAATGAAGCCACATACCAACTTCATCTTCAGATAAAAAAGAAATTTAGAAAAGAAGTTTACACTGCATTCAGATTATCCTCTTTGCAGGTATATCCTTATACATTTGGGATTCAGGATAAGGCTACAAATAATTTAGTTAAATCACATTTTTAAATAAAGACTAGTTCATAAACCCCAAGCAGTACATCATTAACTGCCTGACAGAAGTTGCTAATATTAAAGTAAACATCAAGATGTTCAATTTTTGTAGAGAGCCTTATATTTAGTTCAACTTAAGGAACTTACAGAAAGAAATTCTTTTTTTCTAGAACCCTACTCTTCAAAACACAAGATGCCCTAATGTTGACATGTTCTCTTCATTATAATACAGTATGTCATTTGCAAAATAATAAAGCACTTCAGCCCTTACTTTATAGCCACAGTTTCACTGTGGGCATTTGACCACATTTAGGCAACAAAATTGTCAATACAGGATGCAGATTCTGAAAGCAAGCTATTTGGCTCCCTTATGGCTCTCCCATCTGCCAATTGTGTGATCATGGACAAGTTAAACTCTGTGTCTTTCCTGCCTCATCTGCATAATAGTCACAAATATATCTACCTCATAGCATTATTGTAAGAATTAAAGAAGATACCATATGCAAGGGGCCTAGAATAGCCCCAGAATACAAAAAAAAGCTCAAATAACATCACTTCCAATTTTCTTTCCTTAGAGATTAACATCTTTGGCTCATGTCCCTAAAGGATTTCTTTTCCAAGGGAAATAATCATTTTTCCTTTGATACACAGTTCAAATATCCAATCTCCTGTAAAGCCACCTGTGATTATCAACTAGATGCCTAAGAAGGCTTACAGGCAACATTCTCTTTGCTATACCTGAGTCTATATCACTGCGCTCTCCTCAGTGAACATACCATATTTCTCATGCCAGATCAGACTGTGGCTCTGGGCAGAGCTTGTATATTCTTCAGCACCAACCAGCGTGCTGAATGCGCTTCACACTAAGTTGAAGGATCTATGACTGTTCATGGCTGTCACTTATCAGTCTTGCTTCTTTTTCATGTCTCACATCCAAAGTCCCACTTGGATCGCTTCCCTTCTAATACTGTCAGTTCCCCATTACAACTGAGAAAGCACGAGCTATAAAAAAGCCAAACTTCACCGGGGATTCAGCTCAGTGGTCTGGCCACTGCTTTGCAAGTGCAAGGACCTGAGTTCAATCCCCGGTACAAAAAAAAAAAAAAAAAAGCCAAAACTCCTCTGGATTTCAGCCTCCTGTATCCTCCTGCTACTGACACCAGGCAGAGCACCATACCTGTGAATGACTTTTCATTTCACTTCCGTACATGTCAACATCTCCCATCTTTAGAGCCAGTGCTGCTTTCATCAGTGTCACTAAGACAGAGAAGAGTCCACAGGCGTCCAGCTTCCTTAGACAGCTCAAGGCAGTTAAGGGATTCACATTCTTCATAGCAGGACTACAGAGAATATGGGGCAATTGTTTCGGCTCAGCTATGTGAAACATCTGAACCACTTTTGCTGCTAATTCCTTTGATGAGCAAGAACAAAGAATGAAAGGTATGTCAGCCAAAAGATCAAAATTAAATATACACGGACACACTTAAAGATATTAGAAATGTTAAAATTAAAGATAAAACTATAGTACCACATTTTGATTAGAACTGAGTTGATTTGGATACATGGGAAATCTGAGATGACCCGACATGATCTCTTTGCTAAATGATACTGAAGAAAAAGCAGTGGAAATATGCACCCGGTTGTGACCAACATTTCTAATTTGAACAGGAAATCAGCAGAAGAAAGTATTTCATTAAATTGCACTTTTAAAAAACAACTTAGATCAAAATATACCCAGTGAAGTAATCTGAGAAAACTTTTGGTATCACAATTTCCAGCTATATTTAAAATGCACGAGGCACTCAAAATACTCCCTAATAATGTTTTGAAGTCACTAGGCCAAGATTTTCTAAGTGAAGCTTTGGACACCTGGAGAACAGGGCCACCGGAGGTGGGGGAAGGACTGCAAATGAGAAGGAAGGAAAGGCCCACATTCCAGAAACCATGCTACCACCACTGAGCAAGTTCTCTGATCACTGCATCTCCCTGTCTACACAGTGCGGGATGTGACAAGAGGACCCATACGGTCTGTAATCATTACTGAAGGAAAGAGCATGTTGGTTTTTTGAGAAAAAGAATAACAAAGACGAAAATAGTTGAAACTGACTTCCAAATATGATACAGAATAAATTAATAAAATGAGGAGTTAAAAATACTAGTTATAACTAAGTAAAAAAACAATATTCACTTCACTTAATTCTTCATCCAGGTTTTCATAAAGTGAGTGATTAATACAAAAGATCAATCCCCTCTCATATTTCTGCGGTTCACACTCTGCTGCCCCATCCACGCGGGTCAAAACTTCAGCCAGAGACAAACCAGACATCTTATAGTATGGCAAGGCGAGGTGGGAATGCTGGGTGTCAAGCCTAAACGGAAGGAAACAAAATCCTTCAGGTTTGTGAATTTTAAACCTTTATATTTCATATAACCAATAATAAAATAGATCATGCTTTCCAAAGACAAAAATCTCAAAATACTTCTCTAGTGCCATTAGTAATCAGAACAAACGCCTTTTATTTTTCATGTCATTCAATTAATGCAGTTTTTGTATGTTTTTAATAAATGTAGAAAAAGAAAATTTCACTGTGAATTTTAATATTGACAATGTGGCTCTAAAATAATGGTGTTACAGGTAGAAAAAGTCTGTTTTATTACATTACAATCATTCACATAGGTCAAGAAAGCCTGAAACATACATCAAAATATCTGTAAATAACATTCTCAAAAACAAAAATTGTTATTCACTCTAGTGTCTCTTTCTGACATCATAAAAGCACTAAGATTAAAATCACAGACTGCCCGATGACACCTACACTTTAAGCTAACAGATGATGAAGTAATAGGCCTGAAAGATATTTCACTGGTAATGGGTACCTCAGGGCCAAAAAAGCCTTCCAATTTTGAAGTTAAGTGGAAGGAGACTGATGCACTTGAGACTTACTGCTCTTCTAGTAAATGGTGACTCAAGACAGGAAATGGGTCACAGTCATCTGTATCTCTAAGTCCAGCACAGTGCATGGCACACAGTATGTGTTAAATAAATGTTTGCGGAAGAAATGAATAAATAAACCATCTCCCTTCATGTGTTCCCCTATTTATAATATCAGATTCAAAAAAAATGCTGGTAACAACATAACAACATCCAAAATTCAAGATGGTGGACTGGGATTTAGCTCAGCAGCACTGTATGTGCCTTGCAAGCGCAAGGTCATAAATTCAATCCCTTATAGTAAAAAAAAAAAACAAAAAAATTCAAGACGACTTCTGCAACAAGGTTTTAAGACGCATTAACAACCTGCTGTAACAATCTCCAAGGTGCCCACAGCTTTCTTTAAAGGCTTCTAAAAGCTCTGCTTTTTCTCCGGGTTCCAGGTGACTGGTATCCAACAGGGCAGCTCTCACTAACAGATGGGCCTCACTGAGAAGGTGGATGCAGCTCTGGGTTTTTACAGTCTTGTAGGTATTACTATAGTCTACCTAAAATGAGAGACAAACAGCTAATGTTGCTGAAGAAACACATCCGCTAGTCCTTCCATTCTTAAACACATCTAACTTGTGTTAATGACATTTATATTTGAGCATATTAAACACTGAAAATAACTACAGTAAATATGTGATTAAACATCATTCAATAGGGCCTTTGCTGAGTTTTCTTTCCCTACAATCTGTAAGCCAGTTTAACACATATATCAGCCAAACACTACCTTGTTTAACAGTTTTAAAGACCAAAGAAGGCTGAGGGTGTAGCTCAGTGGTAGAGAGCTTGCTCAGCATGAGCAAGGCCCTTCATTCAATTGCCAGCACCAAAAAATAAAAAAGTTTTCAAAAAAGAGTTAAAGATCCAAATAACACTGTATTACTAAGCATACAATTAAGTTAGTGATCATTTGGTCCCAATTTGATAAAGCTAGTGAAAATATTTGATACAGTTGACTTTTCTTTTTAAGTTATGCAATTTAAGTCACTCAATTTGAGACTGAATAACCCTTCCTGAGTTTCAACTTGTGAGTTTAGGGTCCACTACATCTACGGCATGATTCAGTAAGGGCCCATAAAGATTATCACTAGCTAATTTGAGTCAATCAGTATTTTCAGACAATTGTGGTCAGATCATCTAGACAAAGTCTAACACCTTCAATTAAACAAGACTGAAAAGACAGAATCAAGCGGACATAGAGTAATTCTCAGCGGGAGCAAGGGGATGAGGAAACATTTTTAACTGCTTACCAAAATTAACATCACTAATGAGGAGCAGGTGGACATCATGCACCTCCAGATATTATACACTAAAAAAAACACTAAGAACGCATAATCTGAATCTAATCATGAAAAAATAATCAAACCCAAAATGAAGAACACTTTAAAAAAAAGAATGTAAACAGGAAAGAAGTATTTTTCAAAAATGAAATGATAGTTATCATAAAATTTTAAAAAGGCAGCAGAAATATTACAGATTCAAGGAGGCTAAAGAGAAATAATAACTAAATATACTACCTGATTGCAGGCCTGGAGGGGATTTAGCTCAGTGCCACTGCCTGCCTCACAAGCACAAGGTCCTGAGTTCAATCCCCAGTACCAAACCAAACCAAACAAAATACCTAATTGCAAATTGGATCCTAGACTGAAGGGGCTGGAAAAGTGCTGATAAAGTATTAGTGGATAAACTGAAAAAATAGAATAAGAATTGCAGATCAGCCGGGAATTTAGCTCAGTGGTTCCTTTGTCTGCCTTACAAGTGCAAGGTCCAAGTTTGATCCCTGGTACAAAAACAAAACAAAACAAAAAAAACCTGCAGAATAAATATCATTTCTAGGTTAAATTTTCTCAACCATGTGTCTGTAATGTGGTTACACAAAAGAATATCCTGATTTGTGGAGAACATACAATAAAATATTTAGAGGCAAAAAGTTGTGAGGTATGTATCAAATTTACCTTCCAATGGATCAGAAAAGAAAAACATCTGTGTTGAGAAAGGGCAAGAGTATAAGCAAAGGGGTGAAATGTTGACTATGAGCACACCTGCTTAGGGAAAGTATATAGTTTCTTAGGACTGTTCTTATTCTTTCAACTTTTCTGTAAGTTTAAAATTATTTCAAATAAAAAGTTAAAATCATTGACAGTGATGTGAAGGAAGCTGTCAGCCTTCTCCACTTCAGGCCCTTCTGATAGGTGCTGCTGGAGCAATTGCTGCATCCTAGAGCAATCTGCTAATACGCGAAGAAAGAAAAGAGGTAAGGATAAATGTTCTTTTATTTATGTTTTTCTAACTCCACTTCATGTTTCTCTTTGCTAGGGTTCAAAGTCAAGGGAAAGAGTTATGGATATTTAGCCTGCTTCACTGATCCTTTTAGGAATAAGTGTTTGAATAAAGGACTCGTAGTTTTAGTGAAGGAAATTTCTAGTGGCTCCTCAAATGTTAGAAGCTGTGAAAGTGAGAAGAAAGATACACACTCCTCCACTACACTGATAATGGAAACCGGTTGGTTGACTGCGGCATCCTCAATGTATGATATACATAATTAACTTATGATCATCAATTTTATTCAATCTCTACAAGTAAGAATCAGAAGTCTGAAAAAAGTACCATTTCTTTGTATAGTTGCACTGGTGAGATCGTATTCACAATATACAAACTCCACCCAGCCTCAGCTGCAGGAGGTTTGATCTTAACACTGGTATCTTTTCTAGAACTGAAAGCATAACAAAAGTTAACAACTGTTAAGATAAGATGTGTTATTCATAAATGACAGTACTAGGTGGTAATATTGGGTGACATAAACTACTGTCACTATGAAATCACTTTCATTTAGTGATTTCTTCAGTGACCAGCTATTTGGTTGGTTTTCATTGAGCATTACTTTTCAGTACTACACAAGCCAACTATATTTAATATAATTGCTACGTATAGATAAACCCATTGCTTCCAATTCATTCCACAAGTATTCTCAAATGACCAAGCTCAGAAAGCAGGCTACAAAAGCCCTATAGGCTATGAAAGTCCATGTGCCCAGGGTCTGTCCTGCTGGTAGCCTTCATGAGGTCAAAAACCATCAAACAGAAGCCTTACTAGTCTAGGAGTAAATGTTCTACTTTGAACAGTGTGAAAACAGACTACAAGTTAACTACAGATTAATGTAATAAAATGTGATTTGATTTTTAGATCAGCACATACTTATAGATAATGAGTATGTTGTCGGATGAGAAACACATTGTTATTCATTTCTTTTGCACTATCATAAAACAATCTTTTGATAAAAAAAAAACTAACTCCTAAGGGGGATCAAAGAAGAAAAACAGTGAAAGAGCTTTGTAGCTTGAATTAGCATAAAGTGCTCTGGGTTTCCCATTAATTACACAAAAAAGCATGCTTTAAAATTCTTACCTAAAATAGCACCCCTTTTTACTGAAAATACTTTATCATTTTCTCCTGAAAGTTCCATGGTCCATTATAAAGGACATTATAGAGGTCTTCAGAACCTCTTTTACTTTGTCTTGTAAAAGAACACCATAGAAAAGCTACCTGCTCATTCTAAGTTTTGATTTTTAAAAAGTCAAACTAAGACACACACAAGTTACAATGACTACAATTCATTTCAAAAGCTGGCAGGAACATCTAGGGCAAGGGGATGCTTACAGAAACCTCCTGGGTGATTCTCTTCTGTCTGGAATGGCTTCAGGGTCTGCCTTGGTCAAAAGTACTACATGATTTTTAAAATGACAGATAGCATTCAGGCCTATAAAAAGCTGTATTCTTAAAGCACAGACATCCATACTGACAGGTGGGCAAGCCTAGTAAAGAAAAAAGAAAAAGCATAAATTTAAGGAATGAAGGAATACAGGTATGTGGATTTTGATCTTCAAGAATCAGACCATTTATTCAATAAAATCTCTTCTGCTTCCCTTATCCCTCATTAAATCTTAAGTCTTAAGAGAGTTAGGCTAGGGATTTAGCTCAGTGGTGCCACCACCTGCCTCGCAAATGTAAGGTCCTGAGTTCAATTCCTGGTACCAAAAAAAAAAGAAAGAGAGTGACAGGTTATCTATGTGTATGTAACCCTCCATTTCTTTTACATAGCTACTCAATCAGTACCTTTCGTGGTTGACTGAGTAAATGCAGAAAGGGTCACACAGCTGCAGAAACTCCTGCAGAGTGGCTCTGGCGGAATCCACGAGAAGAGCAGCCCCAAACTGATAAAGTGCCACGCAATGCCCATGGATAGTGGGCTGGCCTGGGGTACACCCAAATGGCCTTTCTAGGCACAACTCACACACTATGAAAAATACTCCATGGCATGGAGAGTGCATATGATGTTGTCTTTGTGATGTGTGTATGCAAGAGATTCTTGTATGTTCAGAGAGACAGAAGCAGAGCCAGAGCAGCTCACAGGCTGGCCCTGGGAGGTAAACTAAAGAAGCCAGGCTGCTGCTCCTGGAGGGGACCAATAACTCATGCAGAATGCCGTAAGAAAGATAATGGAAAAGCTACTTCTGGGATCTCACAAAATGATGCCAGCTGGCTTCTGATCTCCCCTCTATTAGTAATATTTTGATTCTGAGGTCATCATCATCATTCCTTTGCATAATGTGGTTGGAAACAACTCTCATCTGTATTTTCATTTGTAAAAATAGTTAAAGTGGATGTGGGCACTGCTGCAGAGCCAGACTGTTGATCCTGGATGGCACAGCCCCAGGAGACAACTACATTATTTAGCCTCCCTTTTTGCGCATGCTCTGATCATGAAACCATCACATTCAGCCTAGGTCATACGGGCCACGTGGCACTCGTCACCCCACCCCCCTACACTGTAAATAAAGCGTGCACTGGCACCAGGCAGCCATTAGCTCATCGGGCTGTGGTCCCACCTGGTCCCAGACATCAAGAATAATCTCGGTCTCTGTGTCACCTTCTCTTCATCTCTCACTGCTCCCCTCGGCTTAGTACCCTATGCTGTGCAGGTCATGGCATCAGCATGTGGGTTACGTGTCTATTAGTAATATTTTGATTCTGAGGTCATCATCATCATTCCTTTGCATAATGTGGTTGGAAACAACTCTCATCTGTATTTTCATTTGTAAAAATAGTTAAAGTGGATGTGGGCATTGCTGCAGAGCCAGACTGTTGATCCTGGATGGCACAGCCCCAGGAGACAACTACATTACTTAGCCTCCCTTTTTGCGCATGCTCTGATCATGAAACAATCACATTCAGCCTAGGTCATATGGGCCACGTGGCACTAGTCACCCCACCTCCCTACACTGTAAATAAAGCGTGCACTGGCACCAGGCAGCCATTAGCTCATCGGGCTGTGGTCCCACCTGATCCCAGATATCAAGAATAATCTTGGTCTCTTTGTCACCTTCTCTTCATCTCTCACTGCTCCCCTTGGCTTAGTACCCTATGCTGTGCAGGTCATGGCACCAGCATGTGGGTTACGTGACTATGTACTCACACAATGGTGCCAGGATTTCAGAACTGCTGGAAGCACAGGGAAGGGAAGTCTGAGAAGAGATCACTACTGCCCTTCCCTTCTCCTTTTCCTTCCCCTTCATCTCTTCCTTGTTCATTCTCTTTGGTTTTATGAGAGTGTAGGAAGACATGAAATCACGATCCTTTCAAATGTAGACCGATCCTACTTCAATCTACAAAGCAATTATGTCCTCCAGTTGCACCAGTGCCCCCTATGCAAGCTAATAAATTTCTGAGGTTTAAAAAGGCCATCTAAGAGGAAAAGAGAAGGATGAAGAGGAGAGAATGGAAGATATTTCATCACCTTCATTTTTACATTTCTGCTAGAAAAACAATCGTTATTTTAAAACTCATCTCTTACTTGAAAAGATATATGCATCTTATATAAGAAATGAGAAATCTGCGATCTGGTTCCCCAAAGGGCTGAAGGCAAGTGTGGTCACCGACAGAAAACAACAGGGAGGACATGGCAAAAGGAGTCTCCCTTAACTCAGACTCTATACACCCCATAAAACTTCCTGTAAGGGGGGCGACAGTGACTGGGGTACGAGTGCCTCAGAGTGTGTGTGGTATGAGTCCCTTGGACCTTTAAGCCGTTGGTGTAAATACTGTTACTAAACACTTATTTTTCTGTAAAAGGTTGTATAAGGTTCCAGGTAGATATCCTTTGAAAATAAAGCAGCATGTACCTTCATAACAAATATCAATTCAAAGAGTTTATACATCAGAAATAAAATACCATAGGAGAATATAAGGCAAATTGTCGGTGTACTTTTGAGAACAGAAACTCAAGATCAGAAGATCATTACAACCTGTCAATGTTTTGTGGTCAAGAACTTTTCTAGATGAAGCATATTACTTCTCACTAAAAATGAGGTTACTGATCTAGCAAACCCAGTAACTCAGAGTAAGTACAGAAGATTGTTGAAGACAAAAAAAAAAAAATTACAGGCATATCTGATAGTATTATAAATAAGCCATTTCAATGCATCTTACTCAATTTCCTGCTCCTGACTATATGGTTATCTGCACTGTTCTGTTAATAGCTCTGTACAACTGCCACCAGTATTTCTGTTAAAAACAAAAAACTGTGAGAATCAAGATGGCAGAGGAGCAGCAGGTGGCAATAAAATCCAGCCTCTCCAAGACAGAGAATCCAGACACTAGAAAATAACACCTTGGGGAAGAAATAAAGAGAAACAGATTGTCAGAAATCTTGAAGGAACTAATGAAAAATTAAAAGCTACAGAGAAGTTTGAGAGATAGACCACAAGGCAGAAAAGAAAACGAAACAATAGACTCTCTTCTCATGCTCCTCTTTTGGGTTTTTGTCCAGTTGTTTGTGGCTCATAGCAAGGGGAGTCTAGCTCTGCAGAAGCAAGGTTGAGCGGTGGGGGCCCAAGAGAAAAAACCAGCAGCTAGGGACTAAGGCAGGCAGGAAGACTTCTTTCATGAAGAACCTTAATTGATCCCAGCACTTGGGAGGTTAAATTAAGTTGTCTGAAGTCAGTTTAGGATACACAGTGAGTTCAAGACCAACCTATCTCAAAAAACAATAAACAACACAAAACAAAAAAAACCCATAGAAATTATGGAAACAATCTTTCACATTAGCTTTAAGTAAAACTAAATACTTAAGAATTAACCTAACCAAGGAAGTAAAAGATCTCTATGATGAAAATTACAGTACTCTGAAAAAGGAGATCCAAAAGAACATTAAAAAATGAAGATATTCCTGTTCTTCAATAGGTATTATTATAACAATATGGGCAATACTGGTCAAAGTGGCCATACTTCCAAAACCAGTTTACAGATTTAATGAAATCATAATCAAAATAGCAAAAGCATTCCTCACAGAACAAGGAAAAACTATTTTAAATTTATATGGAACCAGAAAAAAACCCAGAATTGCAAAAGCAATCCTGGACAGTAACAGTAAGGCAAGAAGCATCACAATCTCAAAAAGACTTCAAAGCTACAAGGATAAAAACAGCATGGTATTGGCAAACAAACAAAAATCCAGATATGTGAATCAGGAGAACAGAATAGGGGATGCAGAAACAACTCCAGGCATATTCAGCTACCTGATCTTTGACAAGGGGGCCAAAAACTTACACTGGAGGAAAGACAGCATCATCTTTAACTGGAAAACTCGCCATCCCAGAACAGAAGACTGAACCTAGATCAGTATCTCTCACTACATACTAAACTATAATAAAAATGAACCAAAGATCTATAAAACAGAAACATAAATAGGTAAAACTCTTGAAGACAGGCACAGGTAAGAACTTTCTAAAGGAAACTCCAATTGCACAAGAAATAATATTAAGAATCAACAAATGAAGTCATATCAAATTAAAAAGCCTCTGCACAGCAGAAGGAACAACCAACAGAGTGAAGAGATAACCTACAGAATGGGAAAATATTTTCCAGCTATTCCTAGCAGAGGAATGTAATGATATATATTATATTATACGTGTGTGTGTGTGTGTGTGTGTGTGTATAAAATAAAGAACTTGAAAAAATTAGAACCTCCAAAATAAAAGATCCAGTTACATTCTGCAAAAGAAGTAAAAATGGCCAATAAATACATGAAAAAAGTTCAACATCTCTGGCAATTACAGAAATGCAAATTAAAACAAAACTGAGATTTCATCTTACTCCGGAAAGAAAAGCTATCATCAAGAAATCAAATAACAAATGTTAGAGAGGTTGTAGGGAAAAGGGAATCCTTGTACATTGTTGGTGGGAATGTAAACTAATATAACTACTATGGAGATCCCTCAAAAAACTAAAACTAGAAATTCCATTTGACCCATGTATTCCCCTTGTAGGTATCTTCCCAAAAAGTTAAAGACATCATATCTCAGCAATACATGCTCACAATAGCTAAATCTTGGCAGTAGCCTACATGACCATCTACAGAAGAATGGATAAAGAAAATGTGGCATTTATACACAACGGAGTACTAGTCTGCCATCAAGAACAATAAACTCAAGTCACTTGTACGAAAATGGATGCCCCCGATCATAAGATTAAGTGAAATAAATCAGCAACACAATCTTAAAATACTGCATGGATTTTCTTATATGAGAAACCCAAATACAAATAAAGAGGAAAATAAAAGACAGATAATAGCAAAAAAAAAAAAAAGGAAGTTTTCTAAGACTTCTTGGTTTATTAATCAAAACACTGATTTTATTCCTGCATTTTGTGATATTTGTAGTATCTGACAGATTTTTAGAAGTGTATAAGCTTTACAGTTTACTAATCAGGGTTCTCCAAAGTGATATATCACTTTGTATTTTTGACAAGTAAACAAACCTTTGGATGCAGATAAAAAACAAAATTGCCAGGCCAGGGATGTAGCTCAGTGGTGGCCCACCTGCCTGGCAAGCACAAGGTCCTGAGTTTGATCCTGGGTACCAATAAAGAAAGAAAAAGAAAGAAAAAGAAAGAAAGAAAGAAAGAAAGAAAGAAAGAAAGAAAGAAAGAAAGAAAGACAGACAGACAGACAGACAGGCAGGCAGGCAGGCACGCAGGGCTGGAAAAAAATTGTAATATAATAACATTGCATACTGCTCTCTCTGAAATTAACTTATATGTATATGTATATATATACATATATATATATTTTCTTCACCCCACTTAAAAACTATGCAGTAAATCAACCTTGAATGAAATGTTTTCAAAGCAATCCTAAAAGCTGTCATTCCAATCACAAATCATAAAATGCTAGTTTACATGTAAAGTTTTACTCTAATAAATCAGACAACTTTAAGGCCTTTGGTTGTTCCCAAGCCTCGCCCCAAGCGCAAATGTACAAGTATTCACGTGTTTCCTTCGGGTCTTCACGTTTCACAAGGTTCCAGGAAAGTATCAGCTGCAGGTCTAACCTTCAGGGTAGTGTCCATGTAAGGGTCCTCCTCACGAGCCACCGCCGCGCTACACCGCACTGTGAAGCACTGCAGGTTGTTTCTGAGGAAGAACAAAAAGCTGGCTGAGCAGAGGGGAGGCCAAGAACCGACACACACTGCACGGTGGGGAGGGCTTCACAGACAGAGCAGTGGGAAGTGCGAGAAAACTAAAAAGGTGATGAGTTAGACAGCTTCTCAGAAAGGAGAGTGTCTCAGACCCCTTCAGGAGTGTGTTTATGAATGCGTCACTGGTCCTCACATCACCACTACTGAATCAGAATCTCTGGGGGCTGAACCTGGACATGTACGCTCAATGTGCAACTCGGATCTATATCCCTAAGAATCAATGTCCTCATCCTATAGACAACATAACAGCCCCCCAGGGTGTGCCTAGGATATGGATGTGTGATGTTCAAAGCCAAGAGCAGAACCAGTTTCCTGACTTGGTCTACTTCTCCAATCCCCAAAGGAAATGTCCTTTGGAGTCATCACAGCGGGACAGCGACACTAACCCCTTACGTTCAGGATGACATTCAGCTTGGATTACGCTGCGCAACGTACTTAGACCACGCAAATACAAACCAATGGTAGGATGGAAAACGAGATTCTCTGAAGAAATGTTTAGAAGCACCTTGTCCAGTCCCTTGTTTTAAAGACTAAAGCACGGAAGGTTCATACTAGCCAAGTGCTCTCTGGAGAATAAAACCAACAGATCCCTGCCTCCTAGGTCCTTGCTCTCCTCTACTTCACTCCACAATCCCAGGATGCTTATAGTAACACATGCACAATGCATGACTGTTGGGGTTATCTAAATGAACACCAATACTGACAGTACAAATAGTTAATTATTTACTTAGGCATGGTACAAACCTATCTTGTAGTAGATTACAAAAATGACTTAAGAAACTAGACAGCTGGAGGTGTAAACATAAGCTCTGAAGAAAACATAAAGGACTAAATCAAAGCTAACAGTAACATTACAGTGGAAGAAATGCTTCTCTAAGAAGCACAGCATTGTGACACCTTCACACTTGGGTGGCTGCGCTGCAGAGAGCACGCTCAGTCGGGCCTCTCTCCACTGTGGGCGATGCTCCCACTTCAGCTTTGGTCAACCATCTCTGCGATTTCCGGTCTAGAACATGACCTTTGGAGTTGTCACAGTGACAGGGACAGCAACACTACCCTTACAAATCTGGAGTAGAGTGAAAACCTCAGGAAGAAACTGAAAGGAGGAAGCAAAACAAGCACCTGCAGTGGGGCCAGGATGATAGGGAAAGCCACTGTGACCACAAAGAGCAATGACCTTAGGTTCTGGAGGTAAAGAGACAGGGAGCCTGCCTCACCTCCCGGTAGTATACTAAGCCAGCCTGTTGGAACTGTTGGAAGACTAAGCAGCAGTATAAAGAAGAATAAGGCAAAGTGAAATGTGCTAGCACAGGAAGATGTCGAGGACTATGTTGCCAAGTAAAAAGGCTAGGTGCTTAACAGTGGGCAGAATATTATCTACTTTTCTAAAAAAGTCACTCATAGTAGTATACAAATTAAAAAAAAAAAGAAGGTGGCTGAATACATACTACTTGTTAATATGGCTGACTATGGTATATAGAACTTTTCAGGGTTTCTACTTTATATATTTTTATAAGATTGGCATTTTACATTTTATTTTGCTCCTTTTTTTTGTTTTAAGTACTAGAAATTGAACCTAAGGCCTTTGCAATGAGCTACATCCCCAATCCTTTTTCATTCTTTATTTTGAGATGGGGTCTCACTAAGTCACTACATCGCCTAGCTGGGCTCAAACTTTCGATCCTCCTGCCTCAGCCTTCCACACAGTACTGGGATCATAGTTATGGGCCATCACATCCAGCTACTCCTTCTTGGTTCTTACAAACAAAAAATTATTACCTTTATTTATTTTTCTCATTGAGTGTATTGGTACATTCTAGGTAGACAGTACAGTTACATTCATTATTGGATCTTGTACCTTTACATGACAGGTCTTGGTTCTCATTTTTCCCCTTGTCTCTGCCCTTCCTTTACCCCCTCCTCCTTTTTTTTAGATTTATAAACATGTCAATCTTAAACTTTTCAAGACAATCTTATCAAACAAGATATTTCTAAAGTATGTATCTACTTGGTAACATTAAAACTATGTAAAAAATGATAAAGGATTTAAAACACAGAATGAGGATACTTATTAAGAACTACTATTCTAATATCTAAATGGCTCCACAATCGAGTTAATGATGTTTGAGTATCTTTTATTGCTAATACTGAGGAAGAAAAACACAGAAATTGCGTATCACTTCAAATTCTGATAATACTGTATTTTCAGGACTCTGTGCTTCAAATTATTAATAACTTAATATGTATGAGAGAGTAGTATAATTTTAGCAGATCCACTCACTAAATTCTCAGTGTCCTATCCATATATGCAATCAGATGAAAAAGAAGATGGACAGTTTTTTTGCATTGGGGCAGAAATTAATATTGCTATCCCTTTCTTTTGTCTCTCCTTTACTTTGGTTGCTGAGATGCTAGTTTCATAGCTGCTTTTGTATCCCTCAAGATCCTAGTCCTCCTCCTCTCACTTACTAAACATGATCTTCACCAGAGTTTAGATCTTCAGTGACTTTTCTGTGAGGTCCTATGCGTTACTCTGAAAACCAGCCTTTTACTTTTTAATGTTAACAAACTTCTAAGCTTTCCTATCCTTAGCTATTGTCTTCTGCGTCCAAAAACCTATTTAGCATTCCCTCTTGATATTCCATAAACACCTCACATTTGAATGTCTAAACCAAACTTTCCTTTTGCCTGACATTATACTAATCTTTATTCTTCCATAAAATCAGGCTCAACACTTTGTAGCAGTTTTTCATGCCTCCTCCACTCTGTTGTACCATCAGATTACAAGTAACTCTCCCTGAAACCCACCTATCTATCCTCCCTTTGCTCCTTATCACTCCTCTACCAGCTACAGCCCCTTAATATTCCTTCTTAACCCATTCCGATAGCTTGTTTATCAATATTCAATAGCCATCACCAATTTTCCTAATGCAGTACTCTGATTGTATCACTTTCTCTGGTCCAAACCTTAAATTCCTCAGTTTAATTTTCAAAGCCTGAGACAGTTTTCAATCATTATCCCTACTATTTCTCTACTTTTCAGCTTCTTCATATTTAAAGAACATTGCCCTGGAAATTTGGAAAACTAGCCACCTCCACACTATTCACTGAAGAAACACTCCCACTGGTAGCATTTCTCCTTGCATCAGAAATCAGCAGAGGGGAGCAGCAACGTTAAGAGTGAGTATCAGAATCCCCAGGTGGGTTCTGTGCAGTGTGAAATATACTCTGGCACCTGCTGAAGAGTTTGGCGCTACCACTCAGTTAAAAATAAATCACTGTCTGAGCAATTAAGTATGGCATGTTTCTGAAAAAACAGATATAGCCTTTGCTTATAGTCTTCTCTAATCTTCACCTGCCAAAATCCTAACTAGCTTTCAGGCGTATGTTCAAAAACAACCACCTGGGCTGGGGATTTAGCTCAGTAGTTCTGCTGCCTGCCTCACAAGTGAAAAAAAAAAAGCTCAAAAACAAACCATCTATCTGAAACTTCCCTGAGCCAAAAGTAACATCCCTCTTCCTGGTACATATTGTACTTTCATGAATTCTTAGGATTTTCTCCAAAAATCTCACCTCTGGCTTTTCTTATATTGTGCTTTGGAAAGTAGATGGTGTACTCTATTCATGGTTGCTTGGTCAGAGGGCCCAAGGCAACAACTTCAACATAATCTGAGCTCAAAAAATAAGAAACAGAACCAAAAGCATCACTTACTGCTGAGATAAAAGGAAATGAGATCAAACGCCTCCAGAACCCAGCTTACATGCCAGTATACTAGGGCAAGATTATCCAGAAGACAGCTACCCCTAGCCACACGACTGTGGATACTCTCACCCTTCCTGTGATTGTTTCCCCGTTTACACAATTAAGGGGTACAATCAGATCATCTTTCTGGCCCCATCACAGTCCTAAACCTTTATGAAATAATTCCCACGGAAAGAATACAGCAGCAATGGAAAGAGAAATGTAACAAAATGTTCTGATCAGTCCCAATGACTCCATTAGGAGACCTATGAACATCTACCAGCTGGGTGTGATGGCTCACATCTGCACTCTGGAAGCCGAGGTAGGAAGATGACAAGTTTGAGTCCAACCTAGGCAACTTCACAATTTAGCAAGACTCTGTCTCAAAAAAATTTTTAAAAGGGAAGGAGGGTCTGAGGATGTAGTTTGGGGGAAGACCTTGGCTTCAATCCCCAGTACCAGAAGGAAAGGCAGAGAAGGGGGAGGGGAAGAGAGGGAGAGCTGAGAGTGAGCAGGCAAACAGGGAGTGACAAAGGCAGGCAGGCAGGCAGGCAGATTGTTTTTCATGAAGAACCTTAGATTTCCTTACAAGGATATCATCCAGTCTAAGGAAAAAAAACAAAGACAAAGCCAGAGTCTAAATCTTAGCACTGAAAAGGCAGGTATGTGCCATCAAAGACAGACTTGAACAGCCAGATGTAACTAGTTCATTACAGTGCTCTAAACTTGTCCACACAATTTTCAGTTAAACATTTAGGCAGCAAAGTGAAAGACAAGTGACTCAAAGTCCAGCACGGAAGACTGTAACAGTACCTGGTGATGACATGCAAAAACAGTGGTGTGAGCACCGCCTGCTGAGACTTCTCAGGGTACTGGTAGACTGATATTAATTCAACAGATTTGACAACCATGTAGAGGTAGCCCACATAGGGTAATGAAAAAAAGCAAAAAAGACTCAGCAACTCTTTTTCCTGAGGCGAATTTTTTCCATCGGAAGTAAGAGAACCTGAATCCAAAAATGAAAAAATAAAGACCATTAAAATAGTAAGTAAAGGGAGAGAATAAATTTCTTCAGGCTTTTATGCAAACTGCAGCAGTAGGACACCAAAAAGTTGCTGGGGAGAAGGTGTTCTTTATAGAAAAATGCCAGTAAGAAATAAAAAGAGTGACATATTCAGAATATCACCATTTAGTAACTCCTAATAAGTGTGCAGAACTAAATAATGATTATCAATGGCTTGTTAACGTAACAAAGACAACACACTAGACACCATAGGCTTCCTAGCAGAGCTCATGCAACCTGTGTTACAAACATAATAATAAGAGTAATATATATTTTCACTTTGGCTTTCCCTCCCAGTTTTGGGAATTGAACCCTAGGACTTCACACCGAGCTATACCACTAGTCCTTTTTATTCTGAGTCAGGGTCCCTCTAAATTGCCCAGGCTGGGCTCAAACTTTTGATTCTCTTGACTCAGCCTCCCAGAATGTTGGAATTACAGGTGTGTGTCACCATGCCCAGCTACTGTATTCTCATCACAGCACTGTTAATAAAAATATAATATGAGCCATATCTGTAAACTAAAAGTTTTCTAGTAACTGTATTTTTAAAAGTAAAAATATAGTTAAAATTATAATGACATTATATTCAACATATCCTACATACTACTATTTCAACAAGCAATAAACAAAAAAGGATACTTTATACATGTTTTTGTACCAAGTCTTCAAAATTTAGTGTGTATTTTATACCTATAGGAAGTCTCAATTGTTACACCATATTTCAAGTGTTCAACAGCAACATGTAGCTTAATCACATACTGTATAGCAGAGATTTGGATCCAAATACCAACTCACAGAGAAATACAATGGATATAGGAATATGTTAAATGACCCTGTGAGAAGTCAACTGACAAAATTCAGATTATGGGAAATCTTATAGTAAGAGGCCAATTTCTTGTTAAATACACTGCAAAAGAAAACCCTACATACTAAAAGAGACTTAAAAGACATAGCAACCAATCGCAGTGTATGACCTCACTTTGTGTATGTTACAGCTTGTACCTACATGTCCATCCAAAGCCTCATGCCCTCATAGGTTGGGCTTTCCAGAGGTGGCTGGATCTAGGGTGTGTAATCACTAGATTTAGCGTAGTTCTGGGTGTGGATAACAGAAACCCCACCCTGGGTGTGGGTGATACCAATTGATAGGCTTACAGCCCGGATGGAATACAAAGTTGGAGAGCTGCTTGCTGCCTCTGTCTGACACACCATGGACTGTTTCTCCTCTGCCATGCCATCTTGCCTTGGAGCCAGCCACCTGGGGACTAAAACTCTGTGAACTGCGAGCTAAATAAACCTTTCCTCCCTTAACTTTGGTTGTTGAGTATTTTGTCACAGCAATGAGAAAAGTAACTAAAACACTGCTTGAGATTTTTCATATCCAAAGTTTTAAAAACAAAGGAGTCTTCTGACGGGCACTCTTTAAGGACACTGGTTAATATCAGAAATCCAGTTCTGTACTCTATGTAATTATCCCAAAGTCCACTGTCCAATTTTTTTCTCCTTCCTACACACATCTGGATGCTGGCCAAACAGTACTGCTCACTTCTCCACACGCACATAACAATCTTACAGCTGGGACGTTGGTTCCTCTATGTAGTATCTTACCAAAAATCTCCATCTTCTAGAAATTCTACTCATGCCTTAGGGCCCGGCTCACTGTCTGTCTATTCAGTAAGTATTCATCAGGTACCTGGTTAAAGTGCTGCTGCTCTCAGTTCTCAGATGTAACAGCACACAGACCTGGCAAGCGCTCTCTCAGAACCCTCATGCTAGTGATAGGGGTTGGGGTGGAGAATAAACAAGTAATCTCCACAGTGTATGATGAAGGGATATTTTAAATTGAAAGGTCAGAGAAGTATTTTGTGGTGAGGTGATATTTACGTTTAAGTTGAATGACTTGAATGCTGTCACGCAAGAATTGACAGAGGTTTGTTCTAAGCCTAAGAAGAAGAAATAGCAGGTCTTACTTAAAGGTGCACTTGACATATGTTAGGAAGAGCGAATGGAGAACGGTCAGCAGAACATGATCGCTATGCATAAACAGTAAGCAGGGTTAGTAAGACAGGATGAGTTCAGAGTTACAGTCACGCAGACCATGGAATGGACTTGGGGATTTTCAGTGCTTTTTCTTTTTCTTTGGTACCGGTGATGTTTGGTACCCAAGTGCTATGGGAGGCTCACCAAATTAAAGAGCTAAGCCTCAGAGCTATTAGCCCTGTCTGGTCTCCAGCCTTGTCTCCAGTCTGCCCTGTTGACTCTCCTTGGTTTTACTTCTCTCAGCTCCTCAAGTAGAAGACTCTTCCCTATCAAAATCTTTGCTGCTTCCTCTGCCTGAAAGGCTATTTTTGCTCCTCAGCGCCAACCCCCTCCCTGGTCAGCCGTTCAGACTTAGGACCCCAAAATGAAGCCAGGACCCTCTGTTATGGGCTGTCAAAGTGGGATTCCTTTCCCATATAACATTCATTTTGGTGTGTAAGTGGGATTGTGTGAATATTTAATTAATGTCTGCTTCTGCCACAAGACAATTAACTCCAGAGGGCAAACGTGTTGTCTCCTTGCTCACTGCT